CTGCCACAGCAGTAGCTATTTATCTACTTGCACTGGCATGCTTTCGTACTGCTAGGTTGGCAGGAGCTGGGACAGAGCAACGGGAGCTCACTCCGTGGCGGGGATTTGAACTGCCGACCTTCTGATCAGCAAGCCGAAGAGGCTCATTAGGCTGTTACAGCAGCTGGGTATGACCTAAGCATTTCCCACCCTCTAAAGATTTTTGCTTGTTTCATTCTTTTGTATATGCTGAGATCCTGCATTCTTGTGCATGGTGGAGAACCTCAGGTCTCAAGACCACTCTGTCCCTATTCCCGCCACACGTGCCATTGCCTCCTGCCACACCAGGGTGGGGTGCCACACCCATTGAGAACCATTGCCCTAACCACTACACCTCACTTGCTCTCCCTGAGAGGTCTTGGGCAGCAGGAAGTAGCATTTCCACACTGCAGACACCTTTGCCCACTGTAAACAGACAAGCCCCTTCTATACACAGCTAGGAGGTCGAACTACTAGAATAGTAATCCTTGCTATGACATTGACTTTCCAGCTGTGGCAAACAACATCAAAATAGCTTGGACTTGTTTGCTTTTTGGGAAAGGGGGAAATATTTATGGCCAGAGCGGGTTTTTCTCCCGGAGAGGGCATTCTCCCACCCACGCCTGAAGACAAAACCCTTTGTATTTAACTTGTCAGCCTGTGGAGAGCAGACAGGCAACAGGATGTGGGTTCCGTTTGGAAAGGGCAAAACAAGATTTTATTGGGCAATTGCCCTTCGTTCCATGCTGAAAGCAACAGGAGGCTGTTTGCTCAGCTGGAATAGATACAGATATGTTTAAATTAAGAGATCCACAGGGAGAATTTGTCACTTCAGGTGGTGAAAAGACATCAGGCAATAAAGATTATTTTCCAGTTGTCATCCCCTTGAATATAGGCATCAGGATAAGAAAACAGGAACCATGCTTCTCCTAAAGCAGACATGTCCAACAGGTAGATCGTGATCTACCGGTAGATCACTGGACATCTGCAGTAGCTCACTGGTAGATCACTTAATCCCCCCAAAGAAGCTGAACAACTGTGGCCCCCCTAAAAAAAGCTCAACATTTTACCTCCTCCCTGAAAAAACTCAACAACTTTGACCTGAACCCCCAAAAAGGGGGTAGATCACTGCCAGTTTTTAACTCTGTGAGTAGATCTCAATCTCTTGGGAGTTGGCCACCCCTGTCCTAAAGGAAAAACTACTTCCAGGTATATCATGGAAAACCAGGGGTGGAAAACCAGTGTGATGGCCTAGGACTAGGGCTCAGACTCAGAACCAGAGGAGACTCAGTCTGCACCGGATCCTTTGCCTCAGGCATCATCTGAACCAAGTCTGGGGCCTGATCCTGAAGAGCCCCAGTCTGCACAGGTTCCCCTGCAACAAGCCCCAACTGGGCCAAGTCAGGGGCCTGAGCCTGCCCTGGCTCCAGATGCAGGGATTAGCTCGTTGGCTTCAGCTGGGCCATCACTTACAGCTGCTCCACTACCAGTTGGGTCAGGGGAGGCTGAGGCAGCCCCTGGGTCTAGTAACCCACCGAGCTGCAGAGACTCAGGTCTGAGAGAAGGAGAGACCTGAGTACTCGCAGGAGGAGTGCTCGCCTTTGGGCGAGACAGGGAGGTGAGTCACCGGGGGATCAGGACTGGCCACTACCCTGACAAAGATAAAAGGCTGTCGGACCCCGCCCCAGGTTGCGGGAGCAACATTGCTGTATGCTAGATCCTGCCTGAGATCCTGTACCTGTCCTTGCTTGGTTTCCTGCCTCGTGTCCTGCCTTAGCATTGTTGGACTGACTTCTAGCAGAACCTTTGGATTTTGGACTGGTCCTGGACTGTGTTTCACAGGTTACCCCTGGGCCCAGCACAACCAGGGAATGAATAAATGTGGTATTCCATTTCTCTTTTCAGATTGCCACCACCACCCTCTCCAAGCTATGCCACCTTGCCCCAGGCCAAACTCACCTCTGCCCTTGCTCTGCATCCTCCTCAAAGCGGATTTAGAAGACGATAAGACAAAGTCACAGAGGAGAGGGCTATCAACGGCTACAAGCCACAATAGCTGGACTGGGCCTCCACGGCTGGAAGCAGTGATGCTTCTGAACACCAGTTGCAGGAAACCACAGGGGCTCAAATCCTGCAGGTTGGCTTCCCACAGGCATCTGGGTGACCAGTGTGAGAACAGGATGCTGAACTAGAAGGGGCTTTGGCCTGATCGAGTAGGTTCACCTTGTGTTCCTATGTTCTTTCCTGGCCAGAGTATGTCCTTGGAGCATGATAATGTCTCTTGCTCCCTTGCATGGTAGTTGGAGAGACATGTCTAAGTGTGTGCCAGTAGAAGACGGCTTGGTGGGACACCTGACCTCCTGACAGCTGAGTTGCTGCTGCTTACTGAGAAGAAGAGGGGAGGGTCAAGGCAACTGGGAGGTCAGCATGGTGCAAAAGCATCGGCGGAGCCAAGGTGGAACTCCTGCCAGTGTGTTCGCACCGCAACAACCGCCCTGCCACTGCAGACCTCCCCCTCTCCTTCCTGGTAAGCAGGGGTAACGCAGCTGTCAGTAGCCCCAGCCTGGAAAGGGATGCGGAAACATGGCAGACTGAAAAAATGAATGAAAGTGGGATTGACAGATGGAGCCATCCCCGGTTTCAAACAACGTTTTACTGCTTATGTGTCTGCTTTGTATAAAAGCCCTTTTCCGGAGAAACAGGTTATTAATCCATCAAGTAAACAAATGCATTTAAGCAATGCAATTTAAGTTCTTATTGTGTTTGGAGGTCCTGGAGCTGGTGAAGGCCAAAAGCATGACCTTTCTGAGAGAGAAGATCAAAAAACCAACAGCCTTGGTTCCAGCTCACAGAGAGCTTTAAAGGAGACACTGAACCTGGGACTTCAATAACTGTCTTATATGCCTATTCATTTTCCTGCTAGGGGAAGGCCATGGCTGAGGGGAAGGGCTATAACTCAGCAGCACAGCATCTACCTTCCATGCAGAAGTCTCCAGTTTCAGCCCTAGGTAAAAGGTAAAGTTAAAGGGACCCCTGACCATTAGGTCCAGTCGTGGCCGACTCTGGGGTTGTGGCTCTCATCTCGCTTTATTGGCCTAGGGAGCCAGCGTACGGCTTCCGGGTCATGTGGCCAGCATGACTAAGCCACTTCTGGCGAACCAGAGCAGCGCACAGAAACGCCATTTACCTTCCCACCAGACTGGTACCTATTTATCTACTTGCACTTTTGATGTGCTTTTGAACTGCTAGGTGGGCAGGAGCAGGGACCGAGCAATGGGAGCTCACCCCATCGCAGGGATTCGAACTGCCAACCTTCTGATTGGCCAGCCCTGGGCTCTGTGCCACCACGTCATCTCCAGGTAGGCTGCCGGAAACCATGGAGAAAGGCTGCCAGTCAGTGTGGACATTATTGAGCTAGATGTGCTCTGCAGTTGGGATTGGAAGTCGGCATACTGGAAGATCAAACCTTTGCTCTTGCATGCTTCAAGGTTCAAGCCACATCATTAGCTTCTGCTAAGGGAGCATGGACATAAAATCTGGTGCTCTTGAAACATGCTCTTCTTTCTTTTCCTCCTTCTTCTTCTTTTAGACCCAGGGAGGGAGGGAAACCTGGGGAAAGATCGCCGGCACTTTGATATTGTACAAATTACCAGCTCTTTATCTGCCATTGTGCAACCGCGAGCTGCGGTACAATAGGGAGCATTTCTTGAAAGGGACTCATTATTTTGGCACACAATATCATAATGCAGAGATGGGTTGCAGGGATTTGCTCTAGATGGGCTTCGGTGCCGCTGCCTAGGCTCCTTTGTCTGCTTGCTTGTCCTAAATGGCACCCTGCTCCCCTCCGTTTAGGAGTTCTCAGCCCGGAATGCCACTCAAATACACAATGCAGCCTGGCCCATCAATAGCCTCTCTTGCTATGGTGCTTCTGTTTGGCAGCAGCCCAGATGTGATATATGGAACACACTAGAGGCCGTGGAGAGGGGGATTATCAGCAAGAAACTGGCAAGAGGCCCCAATCCAGATGATGATGATGATGATGATGATGATGATGATAATTTATTGTTTATACCCCGGCTGGGTTTCCCCAGCCACTCTGGGCAGCTTCCAACAGAACACTAAAATACAGTAACCTATTAAACATTAAAAGGTGACCCGGAAACTGCAACTAATCCAGAATGCGGCCGCTGAGACCACATAACACCGGTCTTGAAAGACCTACACTGGCTCCCAGTATGTTTCCAAGCACAATTCAAAGTGTTGGTGCTGACCTTTAAAGCCCTAAATGGCCTCGGTCCAGTATATCTGAAGGAGCGTCTCCACCCCCATCGTTCAGCCCGGACACTGAGGTCCAGCGCCAAGGATCTTCTGGCGGTTCCCTCACTGCGAGAAGCCAAGTTACAGGGAACCAGGCAGAGGGCCTTCTTGGTAGTGGCACCCGCCCTGTGGAATGCCCTCCCATCAGATGTCAAAGAGAACAACTACCAGACTTTTAGAAGACATCTGAAGGCAGCCCTGTTTAGGGAAGCTTTTAATGTTTGATGCATTACGGTGTTTTAATATTCTGTTGGAAGCTGCCCAGAGTGGCTGGGGAAGCCCGCCAGATGAGCGGGGTATAAATAATAATATTTTTATTTTTATTTTTATTTTGCCTGTCTGGGGGTGGAGGACAGAGAGGGTTGTCCGAGTGTGTGTGTAGGCTACTGTGCAAAGCTAAAAATTCAATTTGTTGTTCTGTGCACTTTTGCCCTCTGCCTCGTCCACCAATGCAATGTGGCCCTTACAAGGTTGTTCAGAAGGGAAAGTGGCCCTTGGCCTGAAAGAGGTTGACCCAGTCCTTACATAGACAAGGGTGGCCTAGATGGGACCAACACACCTTCCAACACGACATAGCCCAAATCCAGGGTGCCATAGAATTGTAGAGTTGGAGGAAACTCTGAAGGTCATCTGGTCCAACCCCCTGCAATGCAGGAATATGCAGCCGTTCCATACGGGGATCGAACCTGCAACCTTGGCATTCTCAACACCACACTCTAACCAACCAGTTGTAACCATCTTGGCTAGAAGAAGAGTTTGGATTCAATCTCCTTTCCCTTCCTCCCCCACAACAAACACTCTGTGAGGTGAGTGGGGCTGAGAGACTTCAAAGAAGTGTGACTGGCCCAAGGTCACCCAGCAGCTGCATGTGGAGGAGCGGGGAAGCAAACTTGGTTCACCAGATTATGAGTCTACCGCTCTTAACCACTACACCACACTGGCTACTACTCACCATCGATAGCCTTCCCCTCCATCTGCCTGGTCCTCACTCCTGTATGAGTCACATGACCCACACAAGCTCATCACACACACACATCCCAAGTGTTTTTTTCGGGCACCGTGTTCGAGAAAGTGCAGCCCAAAACCACGAGAGATCATGGTGGCCATCTGGGCCACTGTCCTCTCGTGAGAAAAAATGGAATGTCCCTTTTTTCCCAGGGGCAGTTGACAGGTATGGACCAATGGTCTGACTGCATAAAGTAGTTCCTTATAATCCTGTGCCCTTAGAAAACCAGGTGTCAGGATGACTGGAGACAGATTCCTTCGATGCTCTACCACCAAACTGACCAGAAGAGGGAAACCAATATGACCAGGACGTTTCTTATCATCAGTACAGTCATACCTTGGGTTACAGACGCTTCAAGTTGCGTTTTTTTGGGTTGCGGACCGCCAAAACCCGGAAGTACCGGAATGGGTTACTTCCAGATTTCAGCGGTCACACATGCGCAGAAGTGCTAAATCTCGCTTTGCGCATGGGCAGAAGCTCCGAATCGCAACCCGCGCGTGTGCAGACACGGGTTGCGAACGTGAATCCCGCACAGATCACATTCGCAACCCGAGCGTCCACTGTATTGGTCAGATCTGGACACGTAAGGTTGCTGGGCTCTTTTAAGTCTTCTGTGTCAATTTTGTTTAGAGTGTAACGGGTGTGGAGTTGTTATACAAATTGTAATCTTAAGAGCGTTTCCTCCTGCCTTTTCCCTACATCTCTTTTTCCCTTGTGCATCATGAAAGCAGCGGCTGTCATACTACTGATTAATGTAAGCCACCCTAGTAGACTTTTTTCAGATAAAGAGCAGGCTAAAAAAATGCTTTAATTAAATAAAAGAAATCAATAAGCATTCCAGAGAATCTTTAGGCTCCATTGTTGTTAAGCTTTAGCGTGTGTGGCTTTTCCGTCCCAATTTTATCCTTATAGTTAAGTAAGTAACTAAGAGAGCAACTGGTTGAAAGCTGCTTGTTTAGCTTCATGTCTGAATGGGGATTTAAACCCGGCTCTCCCCTCTCCTGGTCTGACACTCTAACCACTGCAACATGCCAGCTAGGAAGACCTAATGAAAGAAATAAAGAGGAATCCTTAAAGTCTTCCTAAAAATAAAGATCTCCGTAAGCTTCCCAAATAACATAAAGGAGAAAGAATCTCACAGGGGAAATAATCTCATAGCATAGGGGCCACCACTGAAAAGGCCCTGTTCCTTGTCACCAGAGGATCTGGAGAAAAGGGTCATTTGATGATATTGGGGAGTGAGGGAGGTTCATACAAGAGGAGGGGGTTCTTCAGATCGATACTAAAGACAAGGAGCATTGGATTTGCATATGTGGGCTGCAGTTTCAGTTTACACCCATTGGGGGCTCTCACCAGTTTAATTAGTCCCCCCCCCATGCAAAAAAAGCGTCAGTAAATTCCTTGACGCACAACAGGAAAACCAGGAAAACAGTCAGCTCCTTTAAGCAGGCAACTAATTCATAATGCAATATGGCATCTTTGGGGACAAAATAATTGTAAAAAGTGTCTGGTAGGTTTCTTTTAAAAAAATAAAAAATAGAGCTACCCAGTGAACCTATGCAGTACATTTTTAATGAAATACTACTACTGAAATCCCTTGCATTTTGCAGATTTATACCTTCCAAATAATTCAAAGTGACATCTCCAGAAGAAGCGATGATGTAGTTCCACAAATTGATAATTATGCGGGATGACATAAATATGCCGTTTGACAGGCATAAATATACTCCCCCCCCCCGCCCCAAAAAAATTCTATTTCACAAAGCAGTATTGGTAATTAGGACGAATGAAGGAAAATATGTCATCTGACACAAATCAAAAATGACACCTCATGAATAATGCAGCCCTTTCTCTATTACTCTTGATACATTTTTTCGGGGGCTGCCAATTTTTTACTTACTTTCTCTCTCTCTCTTCCTACTAACCAGCTGCCTCCGCCCTCCCAGAGGTGACTGGAAAAGTCCAACAGTGGGCGGAAAGCTCAAGAATTCAGCATGTAGCTTCAAAAAATACATGGAGTCTTTTCAGCAGGAAAGTTGCTGAATAAACCCATGAACTAGGCTGTCTAAGCACAGTGTGGTCGCCACACCCCACAGGAAGCAACCACTCAGATTTCCTAGAGGTCACCAAACATGTTATTAATGTGAGCAACGAGTTGGTGGCCACCCAAACTGCAATCCCAAGATTGGTTCTCTGGCCAGTGCCTTGGACCAGCTAGCCTTAGGAAGGCCACCTGCAATTTCCCAATGTACGCTTGGAAAAGCTACTCTAGGGCCACATTTGCACCAAATATTTTAAGCACCGCACTAGCACTTTAAACAATCATGGCTCCCCCCAAAGAATTATAGGCGATGTGGTTTGCTAAGAGTGCTGAGAGTTGTGAGGAGGCCCCTATTCTCCTCAGAAAGCTACAATTCTCAGAGTTCCCTGTGAAAAGGGACTGGTTGGACTGGACTGGTTGGCACTCTGGGAGTTGTACAGAAGTGAAGGAAAATGGTGAGTGTGGGGAAAAGTAAGTTAGAATGTACAATAAAGGCAAAACAGTTCAGTCCATCACTTGCCTACTCAAAAGTGTATTCCATTGAGTTCAGTGGGGGCTACTTCTGTCAGAGAAAAGCAAATACATTTCATTCTCTTGCGTTTGTTTGTAGTTAATGCATGTCTTACTTTAAACCACACAAGGGGACTGTTTGTGTAGCCATCTAGCCAGCATTTGCTTGTAAGCCTCTTTGTCTAAATGCCGCCCCTAAAAGTGAGCTGTACTCTCCCAAATTGTTGAGACAAGATGCCTGCTACTTTCTCTCTCTCATCTCCACTCATTCTGTAAATAGTTCCTGTATGAATAAAGCCTTTGAACTCCATAAACTTTAAGTGATTGCTTCAATCTAATTCACCCAAGCTGCAAGGTCTGCTAACAACTCCCAGATCATTACATAGGATCAAAGCTATTCAGAATAATTCACCATATGTCACGACTCCCAGGCTAGCTGCCTAGTGCAATCAGAGATGCAGAGAGCTTCCACTCTCTAATTTATTTAATCAACTGAATACACAGAGAGACCATGGATTATGCTCCCCTCAGTCTTGAGACATTGCTCAGAGTACCCGCTCCACCCCACTTGCGGCACTTCTTATCTTCCAAACCCCTCTTTACTGCCTACGGTGGCCAACAATGGAATCTTTATGTCTCTGTTTGACCTTCTGCTCTAAGATACAAAGGGATCGTCTGGTCCTTGGAGAAGGAGGGGGTTCTACCAGGCTTTCAGGTGACATAGTGTCCACTGTCTGCTGTCCTGTTTCTCCCACAGAGTCCTGTCTCTGTTCAGGACTAGAGCATCTGCTAGCTTGCTCCTGTTCCTCCTCTTCCATTATTTCCCAACTCTTTGCTTCTTCTTCTGAGGTGTGTCATGAATCTGGGTCCATACTATCATCATCTTCCTCCTGCCAGGACATCTCTTGAGGTGGAGGTCTCCACCACTCCTCCCCATCTGCCCAGTCCCTGACACCATAACACTACAGTGGTACCCCAGGTTAAGAACTTAATTCGTTCCAGAGGTCTGTTCTTAACCTGAAACTGTCCTTAACCTGAAGCACCACTTTAGCTAATGGGGCCTCCCGCTGCCAGAGCACGATTTCTGTTCTCATCCTGAAGCAAAGTTCTTAACCCAAGGTACTATTTCTGGGTTAGTGGAGTCTGTAACATGAAGCATCTGTAACCTGAAGCGTCTGTAACCCGAGGTACCACTGTATTATGATTGTTCAGTGAGTGCAAGTATTATTATTTTTTATTTAAAAAACCCACACACAATTCAGGGGTTTCTTCCAACCCCCGCTAGCTAATTTGTGGGCATGGGGGAAGGAGAGGGGACAAAGTCCTGTTCTGCTAATGAGATTCATGGTACTTCCTCCCACTAGTGTGACTACTTATTTCAAGGGTCAGCAAACTTTTTCAGCAGGGGGCCAGTCAACTGTCCCTCAGACCTTGTGGGGGGAGTGGACTATATTGGGGGAGGGGGAATGAACAAATTCCTATGCCCCACAAATAACCCAGAGATGCATTTTAAATAAAAGCACACGTTCTACTTACCATATTTTTCATCCCATAGGACGCTCTGTCCCATAGGACGCACCTAGTTTTTTGGGGGGAAATAAAGGGGGAAAAATTCCCTTTATTTCCCCCCCCCCCAAAACCAGGTCAAGGAACAGCGGGATGGCGGCGCTGTGCCTCCCCGCTGTCCCCCGAGCTTGTGGGGCTGGCCGATGTCTGCCTGAAGCGCGGGGCGCTCTGCTTCAGCGCGCCCCGCGTTCCATGCAGCAGGCTGCTATCCGCAGCCTGGGGAGCCCTGAGGGAACTCCCGCCGGCTCCCCAGGCTTGCTGATAGCTTCCTGAAGCCTGGAGAGTGAGAGGGGTCTGTGCACACCGACCCCTCTCACTCTCCAAGCTTCAGCGAAAGCCTGTATTCGCCCCATAGGACGCACACAGATTTCCCCTTCATTTTTGGAGGGGGAAAAGTGCGTCCTATAGGGCGAAAAATACGGTATGTAAAACCACCAGGCAAGTCCTGGAAATAACCCAGAGATGCATTTTTAATAAAAGCACACATTCTACTCAAGTAAAAACACACTGATTCCCGGACCGTCTGCGGGCCGGATGGAGAAGGTGATTGGGCCGGATCCAGCCCCCGGGCCTTAGTTTGCCTACCCATGATTTAGTTGAATCTGTGTGAATCCAG